CTGCAGCGCCGCCTCGCGAGCGCTCTCCGCCGCAAGGGAGGCCTTCTCGGTCTCCACCTGCTCGAGCACCTGCTGCTGCAGCGCGACGTCCTCGTCGCCGTCGAGCTTGACGCACAGGGCCTTGAGGGAAGGGGAGGGAAGGTCAACTCCTCAACACACACACACACACACACACACACACACACACACACACACGAAGGTGGTGGGGCAAGGGCCAGGGCAGCCCTCGCGACTCCGCGTCTAAAAGACAAGAGCCCCACGGCATTCAATGTGCAAGGCCCGGTGCGCGTGGGTGAGTGGTGTGTGTGTGTGTGTGTGTGTGTGTGTGTGTGTGTGTGTGTGTGTGTGTGTGTGTGTGTGTGTGTGTGTGTGTGTGTGTGTGTGTGTGTGTGTGTGTGTGTGTGTGTGTGTGTGTGTGTGTGTGTGTGTGTGTGTGTGTGTGTGTGTGTGTGTGTGTGTGTGTGTGTGTGTGTGTGTGTGTGTGTGTGTGTGTGTGTGAGTGAGTGTGAGTGTGTGGCCTTGAGCTCCGCGGAGAGCTCGGCCGCCTCGGCGAACTTGCGCGAGGAGGAGGCCAGCTTGACCTCGAGCTCCAGCCTGGCCCGCTGGTCCTGCAGCCCCTTGACCTCCAGCTGCAGCCGCCCCGCCTCCGCCTCCCCCTGCACGACCGCATCGCCGTGGCGCCTCTGGGCGGCGCGGCAGTCGGCGAGCGCGTCGAGGATCCTGCTCACACCTCCTGCTGTGAACAGCGTCTCTTCACACCTCCTGCTGTGAACACGTCGAGCATCCTGCCGCACTGCTCACGCTCTCGCGAGCGGTGAAGAGCCAAGCTGCTCGACGCGCTGACCAGCCGCGCCGCCCCTCGCTGCGCGCCTTGCCGCCGCTCCACCTCCGACTCGGCCTCGTGCACCGCCGCCGCCGCCGCGCCGACCCACGCCGCGCGCTCCTTTTGCTTGGCGGCGAAGGTGGAGGCCGTCGCCTCGTGGCGCGCCTTGCTCTCCTGCAGCGCCGCGGCGATCGCGGCCGACAGAGCCCCCGCCTGCTCGAGCGCGTCGAGCTTGCTGCGCAGCTCGGCGGCGCCGGCGCTCGCCGCCAGCCGAACCTCCACCGCCTCGATGGCGGCGTCACATCGCGCCACGCTCACGCCGCACTCTGCCTGCTCCGCCAGCTTCTGATCCAGCGCCTCGCGCAGCGCCGCAACCTCCTCCGCCAGCCCTCGCTCCCGCGCCTCCCACCGCGCACGGTCGGCCACGTCGTGCCTCGAGGGGGGAGGGTAGGGTAGGGGAGGGGAGGGGGGGGGGGGAGGCGAGGGGAGGAGAAGAGAGGCGAGGCGAGGAGAAGAGAGGCGAGGAGAGGAGAGGAGAAGAGAGGCGAGGCGAGGAGAGGAGGGTCGTGCCTCGTCTCGTCCGCGAGGGCGGCGCTCATCGCCTCCTCCGCTGCTGTCGCCTCCGCGCTCAGAGTCGACCGCCTCGCCTATCTCCACCCCCTCTCTCCTCTCTCTCTCTCCTCCTCTCTCCTCCCTCCTCCTTGACACTTTCTCCTTTTTCCCCTCCTCGCTCTCCTTCTCTCTCCCTTTCCTCCTCCTCCTCCTCCTCCCCCCCCCCCCCACCTCTCTCTCCCTTCCTCCTTCGCGCCTCCTCCTTGCGCAGCGCCTCCCCCTCCTCCTCGACCGCCCTCTCCTCCGCCGCCAGCCTCGCCGCCTCCTCCTCGCCCGCCTCGCCCGCGAGCGCACGCCTCGCCGCAAGGCACGCGCGGCACTGCCCAGCGAGCGCCGCCCACGCCGCCTCCTCGCGCCGCACCAGCTCCCCCTTCCTCGCGGCGGCGCGGTCGTACCCCCCCTCCTCCCGCGCCTCCTCGCCGCGCAGCGCCCCCTATGAACCATTGGCGAT